ATGACGACGCCGGAGGCCCCCAAGACAGCCCCAAGCCAGCCCAAGAGGCGCCCCAGAGGGCCCCAAGACAGCCCAAGAGAGCCTCAAGACGGCCCAAGAGGCGCCCAGAACAGCCCAAGTGCGGCCCTGAGGCCCACAAAAGGCTACCAGAAAGGACTCGGGACGTTCCAAACGCGACCCGAGACGCCCAATGGTCGCACCAAGACGCCCAACATCGCCCCAGACGGCTTCAGAAGCCGCCAAGACGCCCCAAAAGGCCTCCAAGACGCGCCCGAAGAGATCTCCAAAAGGGCAAAATAGCCCCATTCCCTTCGCAAAACGTATATTTGTACTACCTCAATTGTTTTCGCTGTCGTATAGTTCTTGACCACATCAGAGGCTCCCAAGACCGCCCCAAGACAACCTAAGTGGCGCCCCAGAGGGCCCCAAGACAGCCCAAGAGAGCCCCAAGACGGCCGATGAGGCGCCTAAAACAACCCAAGTGCGCCCCTGAGGCTTACAAAAAGCTACCAGAAAGGATTTAATACGCCCAAAGGTCACCCAAGACGCCCAACATTGCCTCCAGACGGCTTCAGAAGCCCCCAAGACGCCCCAAAAGGCTTCCAAGACGCGCGCGAAGAGATCTCCAAATTGCAAAAATAGCCCCATTCCCTTCGTGAAACGTATGTTTTTACCATATCAATTGTTTTCGCTGTCGTACACTTCTTGACGACATCGAAAGCCCCCAATACTACCCCAAGACAGCCGGAGAGGCGCCCCAGAGGGCCCCAAGACGGCCCAAGAGAGCCCCAAGGCGGCCCAAGACGCACCCAAAACAGCCCAAGTGCGCCCCTGAGGCCCACCTACTGGATTTGGCTCAGGACTCTCGTGATATCAGAGAAGGTACGAACACCTTTTTTATATTCAGCTGTATGCGGCATGCCCCGCCACCGTGCCAGCGCAGCTCTTGTGACACCTCTTGCCTCTATTGAAGACGCCCCAAAACAGCCCAAGTGCGCCCCTGAGGCCCACCTACTGGATTTGGCTCAGGACTCTCGTGATATCAGAGAAGGTACGAACACCGTTTTTATATTCAGCTGTCTGCGGCATGCCCCGCCACCGTGCCAGCGCAGCTCTTGTGACACCTCTTGTCTCTATTGAAGACGCCTAATGCGAATCACCACCGCCCCCTTGCCTTATTGGAAACGTTTATGTGGCCAAACGTTGGGCCAAAGTTTGTCCAAGGTATTGGGCTATGTGTTCCCACAGCCGTTGTGGAAACCCCTGGGGAACACTTGGGGGAGGAAGAGGGAGAGGATTAGACGCAGGAGCAAAAGGTGGAGGAGGAGGAGGAGGAGGAGGAGGAGGAGGAGTAGGCCTCTCGGGGGCCTCCTGAGGGCCTCTTGGGGGCCTCTTGGGAGCTTCTCGGGGCCTCTTGGGCCGTCTTCTGTCGTCTGACGCCTGCGGAGGCCGTCTTTGAGGCCTCTCTGGGCCGCCTTGGGGCCTTCTTGGGGCGGTCCAGGGCAGTCTTGAATGTCTATTGGGCCGTCTTGGAACCCTCTAGGGACCTTCTTGGAGGCCTCTTAGGCAATCTTGGGGCCCTCTTGGGCAGTCTTGGGGCCTTCTTGGGCGCCTCTTGGGCTGTTTTGGGGCCATTTGGGGGGCCTTTTGGACCTTTCTGGGCCGTCGGAAGCCAAACAAACGAGAACGCTAAAATCGCTTCAAACGTGCCGCCGCATATTGTCGACCTCTGCGCGGCGTCGGACGCCGAGCCGCTTGGCCAAAATATTCCGGAAGCCGTTTGGCTAAAATATCTTTGCGGGCGCTCGCCCTTCTCTTGCGCCTTGTTTAGGTTCAATTGGGCTTAACCTACGTTCATGTGGGGTAGTTCGAGGGCACCTGGAGGCTCTACGCGGCCGTCTAGGCGTAGGATGCGCAGGATGGGTCACACGTGACAGCTTTCGTCTTCCCTTGTGGACTAGCCCTTCTGAGTCGTCAAATCCGACACCTCTTGTTACCACGTTTCTCCCGGCTCTCATGAACACTGCCCGGATTGTCGAGGGGCCCACCTACGCTTGTGCGGGGTTTGGATGGGGCTGTCGCGTGCTTGGCCCGAGATGCAGGATGCGCTGGATGCGTTGCGTGTGGTACCGAGCGTCTTCCCTTCTGGACAAACCACCCCCCGTCGTCATCGGCCTGTTTCTGGGGTTGCCTTGGGTTTCTGTGGGGCGGTTTCGGAGAGCCCTGGAGGTCCTCCAGGGCTGTGTTTGGCCAACTAACCCCAGCGTCGGGTGCCGAAGAGGGAGAGGATGAGAAGAGGGAGCAAAGGGAGAAGGAGGAGGAGGAGGAGGAGGAGGAGGCAGTAGGCCTCTTGGGGGCCTCCTGAGGGCCTCTTGGGGGCCTCTTGGGAGCTTCTCGGGGCCTCTTGGGCCGTCTTCTGTCGTCTGACGCCTGCGGAGGCCGTCTTTCAGTCCTCTCTGGGCCGCCTTGGGGCCTTCTTGGGGCGGTTCAGGGCAATCGTGGATGTCTATTGGGCCGTCTTGGAACCCTCTAGGGACCTTCTTGGAGGCTTCTTCGGCAATCTTGGGGCCCCCTTGGGCAGTCCTGGGGCCTTCTTGGGAGCCTCTCGGGCTGTCTTGGGGCCATCTTGGTGCCTTCTGGGCCTTTCTGGGCCGTCGGAAGCCATTGGCAGCGGGGGCGTCACCACGCAGAGTTTTTCAAGATCAGACACTTTGAAAACCAATTGTTTCCATTGCCAGAAAGTATTCCAGGCATCCCAGTTGGGGTCCGAGTCGATGGGGTTGGAGGATCGCGCCGTATCGTCGATGTATCGGCGATGCGGCTCGATGTGGAGCCCGAATTGTTCCACGCTGGAGTCGCCGATGCATCGGCGATGCATCGCCGATGTGTTGGCGATGCGGTGCGATCCTCCGGCCCCATCTACGCCGACCCCCTCTAGCATGTGTGCATGTGTGTATGTGTATGCCTGTGTGTATGTATGTATGTATGTATGTACGTACGTACGTACGTACGTACGTACGTACGTACGTGCGTGCGTGCGTGCGTGCGCGCGTGCGTGCGTGCGTGCGTGCGTGCGTGCGTGCGTGCGTGCGTACGTATGTATGTATGTATGTATGTATGTATGTATGTATGTATGTATGTATGTATGTATCATATACTTGGAAACCGGGGGCCAGGGCCCCGGGCCGGGACACCCTCCCGAATTTCCCCCCCCCCCGTAACCCACTTTGCCCCCGGGCGTCCGGAGGCTCTTTTGCGCCCCTGGAGGCGTCCACCACGGCTTCCGGGGACGGCAAGAAGCCGCCAAGACGGCCCAAGAGCGCTCCAAGACTTCAAGATAGCCCCATCAAGGCCCAAGGGGCCCCCAAGAAGCCCCAGGGGCGCTCCGAGAGGCTTTCCAAGAGAGCCCAAAGAGGCAAACATCATAGATTTTCATTGTGTTTTTCAATGTTTTTTGCTTGCCCGCGTTTTCGGGCTTCTGACCTTCCAAGATTGCCGAGGAAGCCTCGAACATCGCCCCAAGACGGCCCAAAAGGCCCCCGAGAGGCCCCCAAAACAGCCCAAGAGGGCGCCCAAACGGTCCAAGAGGCGCCCAAGACGGCCCAAGAGGGCTTCAAGACGGCCCCAGGAGGTGCCAAAGAGGGGGAACACGAACCGACAATGGAGATTTCCGCCCCAATTGGCCCCCAAGAGGCCCCCAAGAGGCCCCAAGAGGCTTAAACATGCGCCCATCAGAAACCCCAAAGAGGCCCCAAGATGCCCCAAAACGGCCCCCCGGAGGCTTCGAAACATTTCAAAATTGCCCCCCCCCAAGAACCACTCCAGAGGCCCCACGAAGCCCACTGAAGGCCCCAAAGAAGCCCCTACAGTCCGCAAGCAGCCACGGACGAGCCCCGCGAGGCATCAGAATTGCCTCGAACATGTTCTTTGGAAGCTTCGCAAGAGACCCCAACAAGCATCCAATATGCCTCTGACCCACAACACAGGCACGGTGGCGGCTTCATCCGTTGCCCTCCTGTTGATTTGGCCCCAGGACTCACGACGGCCCCAAGAGAAGGGCAAGATGGCTGAGATCAGTCCGAACCACAAGCGGACGCTGGGGCATCGGTTCCATTATTTATCTTCCCTCCTCTCTCTCGCCCCCCTCCCCTCAGTCCCTCCTTGCCCGCTCCCCCATACATATGGCCTCGCTTGATCGAGTAATCATCTTGTACAGCGTGAGCTCCACAGTGAGATGGGCCGCAAACACCCAACGAGACCCTGGACTAACCCCCCGCGGCGCCCAAGAGACCCTTCTCTGCTGGGGCCAGGCTCATGTTGATGTTTCAAACCATGCTGAAACCATTCGTCGGTACGTGCATTCGTGCAGCCGTGATTTTGTCAATGCGCGCAGCCGTGGTATTGTCAAGAGCCTGCGCTTGCTGGAACCTAAGCGCGCGAAGCGCGCGCGTGGTTCTACCGAAGTGTTTTAGGAGTTCCAGCGGTGCATCTCTGTCGACTGAGGGGGGAATCTGACCAGAGCCCGTTTGGGGTGACGTTAACCCGACCGGCGTTTTTTTATATGTATATATATATATATGTTTTAAAGATTTGGCCTATTTCGAGTTCGAGCCTTCATCCAATGGGTGCGGTGGAAAAAAACATCTGCTGACAAGGCCCTCAATCCCTAATGCGTTGGGCCTCTTAGCTTAGGTCCACTCTCAAAGGGTGAAGAAAAACCTTCAATTGCTCGACGGGAGATGTTTGGCACGTTTTTGGGTTCAGGGGACCCTCACCGGGCCCCAGGATCGCCAAAGGAAGGCTAGCTCGGTTGAACGAGACGGTCCCCGGGAAGGGGTCCAGACCTATGTGGGCTCGCACCGTGAAAGAAACACGGCGTCGGAATGATCTCGGGTGGTGGAGGCGCCTGTGCTGGCAGGGACGGCGGCCGTGGCGGCGGTGGTGACAACGGCGGCCGTGGCGCGGTTGCAGCGCCGGCAGCGGCGGCGGGGGCGGCCGAGGTCGACGGAGTTGGAGCTCTGACGGCGGCCTTCGGTCTGCCTGCGCCGCCGCGGACCAGGCGCCGGGGGGGGCAGTCGTCCCACGTCGCCGTCTTGGTTCCCGCGCGTCGCGGGGGATTCGTGTCGCCCGCATGCGCTGGCGTCCCAGACCCCCCCGGGCAATGAAAAAATCACGACGGGAGGTTTGTTCTAATTTTCGGCCTCCAAAGGCCCTTCGGGACCGTCAAAAAACGATTCAGGATGAAAGACCGGTCCAAGGGAATGGGTCGAGACCTCTGAGGGTCGACGTTATGCGAAAATCATGACGTCGGGGGTCTGGTCCCAGTTGCAGGCTGTGCTGCTGACTGCTGAGTCCCGCCGCCGTGCTTATTGGATAAATGGGCCTCGTTCCTCTTGTAGGGTTCCTAAGGTCAACGCCCCAACTGTAGGCCCCTCTCCCGAATGTTTTTTTGGCGGACGGTCCCGCGGCCCGGGGAGGGGGCCCTTTTGAGAAGGTCGAACATGTTGCCGAAGAGGGCTCCCGAGGGGGGGTCGAATACATCAGAGAAAACCCCAATCTGTGGATGGTTTGATCGAAAAGGAGATCGACCGGGAACCCGAGAATCCGGAACCCGACGAAGTCGGCCCGGAACCAATAACCAGGAACCCGGGAACCCGGAACCGGGAACCCGGGAACCCAGCAAGCCACCAACATCGGCGGGACATGTTTGCCAAATCTTTCCATTTCCGTTAGGGCCCTTTCAGTGCAAGCGTTGATTGAGGAAAAACCTCGAAGCTCGAGGCTTGAGGCTCGGGGTTTCTTCGAGCGCGCCTTCGTGTGGCCCCGGCGGCGCTCCAGCCTCGGGGTGCCTTCCAGCAGCTGCGCCTCGTCGAGGGCATGCCCTCCAGGGGGGGGGCACACAGCTGGTGCCGCACGGCCGCCGGGCCGCCGAGGCATGGCCCGCAAACCAAGGAGCAGCGAGGCCTCTCCGCCCCTCAGCGCCCGCGTGCCTCGCCGTGCAGGAGCCTCCCGCGGCCCCACGTGGCGGCCCCCGTTCCACCACGCAGCGGGGGAGAGGCCGGACGCACGAGGCACCTGGCACGGTCTTGTCTTCCTCGTGTTTCGCGTCCGCTCGCGTTCGCCCGCCACCGCGGTCGTTCATCCGGAGGGACATGGCTACGCAAGGGTCGACAGGAGGAGGGAGAGGAGGAGGAGGAGGAGGAAGAGAAGGAGGAGGAGGAGGAGGAGAAGGAGGAGGAGGAGAAGGAGGACCATCACAGGCTCCGGCGGGGGGGGAAGGCTAGGGTTAATCGACCTGGCCTAACCGAAGCCTTGGGTTACATTCGCTCTCCACTGACGCTCTCGTCGGCCTGCCCCCTTCCTTGAGGAGCTGGTCGGCAAGGATCGGCTGGGAACGACGGGGCGACCGATAACTTGCTCTTGGGGTGTTGGCCGCCAGCCAACAGGGACCACGCACTCTGGGAGAACCTGCTTTGGAAGCTTCCCTTGCATTCGCCCTTGAGACCATTGAGGTTGCTCTCTGAGTAGCGGCCACACCGCTTCACACAACAGCGACAGACTCTACACCAAGGTAATCACAAATCATTAGGTGATGCTTCATGGGGTCACGAACCAAATTCGACAAGGCAACATAATTACCTGGGCATGCTTCTAGCATGCGGGACTTGCGGGTGCTGTCGGTTCGAGCACGGGTGTGGCAAGCTAGGCACAGCCAGAGACAGTTAAGCCATTCCCACTGATGACAGTTGGCCCCCTGCGGGTTACGGCACGCACGAGCACGCCGAGGAAGATTCGCAGGGGGCTGGGGAGCCGTCCAGGCTTGGACCGCACCAGCAGCACCTGCGGGGAGGGGGGGGCGGGGCTCTTGGAGGGTTTCTTGGAGGCCTTCTTGCCCGCCTTCGGGGCAATTGGAGACCACTGAGACAGCGCCTTTGCAGCATCTGTGGAAACGGCAACTCTCGAATTCCTGAAACTCAAGCTCCAACTGGGGCGAGGCAGGGATCAGGAAAGCTCCAGTCATTCCCCTTTGGCAACATGCCACACCGTCGGGCCCGCCTCGAGGGCTTCTATGTCCTGGTGGGCCTTCACTTTTTGAATCTCGAGGGAGCGAAAGCTGCCCTGGGACCTGGCCAAAACAGAAATTCCTGCGTACATGTCTTTCCTGCTGACCTCTGGATTCTGGTGGACCGAGAGGATGCCCTTGAAGTCCATCCACGCTGTCGCGACCCTGAGACAGGAGGCGGCATCTAGGAATCCCAAGTGCTCGGCAGCTGGCGACGCGGCCGCGGCGACGCGGGAGGCAGGCTGGCCCCCACGAGGCCCGAGATGCTGGCAACAAGCTCGCCACTCGTCGTTTTTGACCACGACCAGGCGGGGGCGTCATAAACCGGGGGGCCAGGGTTCAAAATTTCGCCGCCGTGAAACTTTTTTTCTTCCATGGCAACTTCCTTGGGCTGGCCATCTCTTGACCAGTAACCTGCACAATCGAATCCTAGCACAGGGGGCCTCAGAGCAACAGGCTCGGGCGTCAGCTGAAACCCGAGGACTTACGGGAAACCTTTCCTCGGGTCCGTGAGTTCATCCACGTATCTTTCCTCCAACTTCTCCTGGCGCAGGTTATAGGTTCCTGGGCGCTCGAAGAGCCTGCGGGGGAGGGCCAGGAGATCGGCGTCAAGAACGTGCCCACGCGCACCAGCATCCCCTGGACCCTCGCCCTCTTCACGGACTGCCTTGCGCAGCTCTGGGCAGACGGAGCCGCGCGGGTCCGCCTCGGAACGGGCTCCCGGGGCAGCTGACGCGGCTCTCCGCCTCCTGCGGGGCCAGCTCTCAAGGCACGAGCGGCAGGCGAGCGACTTCCACGCGACGGCGGCCACGAACCCCCTCTGGGCGCGGCACGGCGTCCGCTCCGAGAGGGCCCGCGGGCGCGACAGCAGGGCGGTTTTTCGCTCGAGGGACAGGTCGTTGCGGCGCTGACCTCTGCCTGCCCCCCGGGATGCGACGCCGCCATCGTCGCGCGCGGAAGTTGATGCGGACCTGCGCCTGGCGGAGGAGCAGGTGGTCGGCGAGCGTGCGGCCCAGCTCGAGAGCGCGCCTCGGGGTCTTGCGTCTTGCGCCGGCGGCGCCGGGTCAGTGGCGCGAGCGCCTCGCGGACCACTTCTGGACGGCCCCGTCGCGGGGTGCCCCGGATGCAAGCGGACAGGCGGGCCGGAGGCACCTCCCTGCTGCGACTGCGCTAGCTCGAGGCTGACCGCGGCGCGCAGGGGCCCCCGCGACAGGCCCCCAGCAGCTGCGGCCGCGGAGGCGCGGGGGCCAGTGCGAAACACCACCGTGGGGATGCTGGACTTTGGGTTCAGCGGGGGCGCCGAGGTCGGAGGCGCAGCTATCCCCCCCCGCCGCTGGGAGGACATCATCAGCGCGGTCATGGGGGCCCTCGGCGCCGCGTGGTTCTTCGGCGTCTCGCGCCGCTGCCCGCCCGACGTGGACCTCGCGACGGCCCTGCCTGGGGCCCCGTATACGCTGCACGGGCCGAGGGCGCTGCAGTTCGTCGCGGCAGTGGTCATGATCCACCAGGAGGCCGAGGGGGCGGTGGCGCACCTCTCGGACTCGTCCACCGGGCCCAGCACCTGCTGGGTCCAGACCGGGCCGGGCGAATGCTGGCGCGGGTTCAGCATCCCGCCCCGAGAGCGCGGCGCCAACGAACGGGCCCGAGCGGACTTGGTGGAGAGGCTTTTCCGAGAGTATGACAAGGCCCTCGAGGCGACCGTTCGGCGCCACTCTGGGGGGCGCGTCCACATGGTGGGGGGCCTCAACCCGGGCGGCGACATCGCCGCCCAGGTGCGCGCGGCGATGAGCCAGAGGGGCCTCCACCACATGATCCCGGAGACGGTGCCCACCCACGTCCGCGGGAGGCGGTTGGACGTGGTGCTCAGCCCGGCGGCGGCCAGCTGCGGGGCGGTCCACGGGGGCCATTGCAGGGGGCACGGCTGCAACCTCTGCGCGCGCCAGGCGCGGGCGCTGGCGCTGGGCCCCCGGGACCTCGACCATCGCGCGGTCAAGTGGGCATCGGCCTTCGAAGACCCCGGGGCGCGGGGGGGGCGCGCCCCGCTACTACACCGTGGGCCCCAGCGCGTGGCAGTGCGGAGTGACAATCTGGGCGGGCGCAATCTACGCCACCGTCCACAGCGAGCTGGAGGCGCGCAGCCACAACCCCTCCCGGTCGCGGGCGAGGGCCGCGCTGGACACGGCGGCGTGGGCGTGGCGGGTGACGGCCGCCCTTGTCGCCGCGGTGGCCGAGCTTGCGAGGCCGCCCAGGACCCGCGCCACCCGCCGGCAGAATGCCGACTGGGCCGAGGCGGCCGCTTTCCGGGAGGTCACGGACGCGGCGGCCCAGCATCAGCGCAGCGGCACAGGCGAGTCGAGAGCCGCCCTGCACGCCGCAAAATCCTGGCTGCGGGCCGAGCGAGACGCAAGGGCCCGAGCCCAGCGAGAAGACGCGCGGCGCCGCCTCACGAGCCTCTTGCACGAGAACCCGGTCGTGGCCGCCAGGGTCCCGAAGCAGGATTCCGCGGGCCCCCCGGAGGAGCTCCCGGCCATCATGCGGGGCCCGGAGGACGACGGTCGCATGTGCGTTGGCACGGCGCAGGTCCCTGATGGCGCCCGCAGGTGCACCCTGCGCCGCGGGCCTCAGGGTGGGGCGCAGACCACGCCGCCGCGATGCGCAGCCGCCTTGAGCGCCAGCGCACAGAGGCCCTGCGCGAGCTCAGCCGCTGGGACGCCGCCGAAGTGTTCACGCTAGCCGAGGCGGACGCGGCCCTGCGGGGAATCCGCCCCCGGGCCCAGTGCCGCGGCGCCTCCCGTGCGCCCTCCTTCAGTGCGGCCACCTGGGGTCCATGGGGTCGCTGATAGGCATGGCCGCCCTGAGCTCGCGCCTCGCCCAAGTGCAAGCGCTGCGGCTGTCGCAGGACAACTATCGCAAGCGCAAGGAGGGCCGGCCCCATATCGAGCGCAGCGGCTACAGGGCACTGGCACTATGCTCGGCAGAAGGCCGGTTCCTTGAGGAGCCGGACGCAGCCTAGCAGCGATGGAGCGCGGCCTCGGCGACGTCCAAGAGGCAGGAGGGGATCGCCTGGTCTCGCAGCCTCCTTGACCTCGGGGTCTGGGCCATCTGCGCTTACCTACCAGGGCCGGCTGACGAGGCGGAGGCGTTCAACAGCCAGGACCGCGCGGAGGCGATGGTCGCGATGCACGACCGGGCGGGCGTGGGCGGCCGGCAGTGGCTCATGGCCGAGGCCATGTTCCGGTGCACCGCCATCTCGGTCACCCGGCGCGGCCAGTGCACGCGGCCGTTCACGCCGCTGGCTGGTCGGCATGCCGGAGGGCAGGAAGCTCAGCCCGGCCCAATACAGCCTCGCCAACGCGGCCACGCCGGGCGCGAGCCTTGGGCTGGACCCGCAGCTGGCCGCGGTGGCGGCTTACAAGGCCCATCGGGACCGCTGGGCGTCGACGAAATCAGCCAGTGGGCGACCCTCCTCGCGGACGGCCACGCGGACTGGAACGATTGCATGGCGGCGGCGTCTTCCGACGCCGTCCGGCAGGGCCTGCTCGACGCGCTCCGTTCTCCGAGACGAAGATTGGGCCGCGCGCGTTCGTGGGCGACGTCCGCGCCAAGGCTGGGTCGCGGGCGCAGTGCGGACTTCTCGCCCGCGCCCTGCAGACGGCGTAGCGCCGCCGCCGGACACTTTTGGCACGGCCCGGCGAAGACGGCCATCTGCTTGGGGCTTCGCAGACACCAGGCCCGCCCATGGCGTCGGGTTCGTGGACGGGCACGAGTGCCTCGGATCGGAGTCCACAGGTCCGCCCGGCCGCCTGGGCAGGCGCACCCCCTGGCCATCGAGCAGCGCGCGCTCGCAGAGGGCCGGCGGCGCGCCCAGGCGATGGACCAGCTCGGCTTCGCGCTCCACGAGCTCAGCCTGGGCCTCGCCGCGAGCGCGCTCCCGAAGGCGGCGCACGGGGCTGAGCTTTGCGCCCGCGTGGAGGGGCCCCAAGCGACCCTGAATCGCCTCCAGGAGCGCTGGGCCAGGGGGGGCCTTGGAGTGCGTGGGCCGATCCCGCGGGCCCTCCTCTTGCGCCACATGGGATGGGCTGCCCGCTGGGCCACGACCATGGGGGAGCGCGCCATTCGGCTGCGCAGCTGGCCCAGGGGGACCCCCGATATGCCGAGGCCAAGTGCGTCCTGGGCATCGCAGCGCAGGCAGAGGGCTCCTGGACGCAGTGGGTCCGCCAACACTTGCGCCGCTGGGGCCTGCCGGACCCGCCGGGGCCGCGAGCGGGGGCGGGGGCCCGTGCCCGGCACCGCGACTTCGTCAGGCAGGCGACGCAGCGCCGGGAACAGTCCTGGCTGGCGAGTCCGGCGCAGCAGGAAGCACTCGCGCGCGGGGCGGGCGCGGGCCACACGGCGCTCGAGCACAGCGCGGCTGGCGCCTCGCTCCCTGACGCGCGCGCGTGGGCCCGCCTGTGCCCGCAGGGCTCGTTCGCATGCGACGCGGCCGGGGGCGCCGGGCCCTGCCGCTTCTGCGGCCAGTCGCAGGAGACGGCAGCCCACCTGCTCTGCTTCTGCGGGCGGGCGGCGCAGGTCTTCAGACGGCCAGCCCAGCCGCGGCCCTGCAGCCCGCGGGCGGCCGCTCGCCCCAGCCGCCGGCCTGTCGCCGCGGGAGGCGCGCCGCCTTGCGCTGCAGGAGGCGCAGCAGTAATTAGGTCCAGCCGGAGCGGACAGGTGCAGAGTCCCCAGTTGCCCCTGGCCCGGGTCTCTTGGGGCTTTGCCGTGGCTTCCGTGGGGCCACCTTGCCCCCGCTGGCGGGCCGCCTGGCAGGGGCGCCCTAAGCGCCGCTTAGGGTGCGCCTGACCGGGGCAGGCCGTGGCCCCCGGGGCCGCCCTGCGACCCTTGGCCTGGGCCCCCGTCCCTGGGCCGCGACCCAACGCTGGTGTGGTCACTTTTGGATTCGGCTTGCCCTTGGCCCGCCTGGCCCCGCTCTGCCCTCCCTTGCCCAGCCTCGGCCTCGGCCCCGGGCCGCCCTGGCCCTTCCTGGCCCGGCCCCCGCCTCCGCCCCCAGGGCGCCCCGGCCCGGCCCCGCCCCCCCGCCTCGGGCCCGGTGCGCCGCCCTGCGCCTCTCCGCTGCGGGCCGAGTGCCCGCCGCGCAGTAACCCGCTCACCACAGCGGGGCTGCCGGGGGCAGCCCTCGCGGGCAGCCCTCGCGCGGCACTCCGCCAGCTGGGGCTGCCCGAGGGGCCCCTCCCCGAGGAAATGGAGGGCGGGCGCCCCCCGCATAGCGCCGGGCGTCACCCTCCACGCCCTCGGCCGCGGGGTGGGTCGCCGCGTGCAGGCACTCGGAGGCCGCCCGCGGAATGGCCGGGCCCAGCCAGGCGGCCCGGCCGGCCGCGCGGTCCCGACGCTGCGGGCCGCGTCAAGCCAAGCGGAAGGAAGGAAAGGAGTCCAGGAGGAGGAGGAGGAGGATCAGGAGGAGGAGGAGGAGGAGGAGGAGGAGGAGGAGGAGGAGGGAGGAGGAGGGAGGAGGAGGAAGA